CAGATAATATCTAGAACTCCTAGTCAGTAATACCAATTATGGAATAGTAGTCCCATCAAGCTAGGAAGCCATTGGCCATGCTATTTGGGAACTTTTCTACTCCCATAACGTATTTACAATTATTTATATGTAGCCTACTCAAATGATTCAAGATGATTTACAGTCATATATTAAAGATGCCCATATTTTTTAAAAGAATCTTTAAAAATTAAAAATATGGTGCTCTCTCCCAAACTCCCTACCACACAAAGTCCAGCAAAAAAGAAAGGTCTTCAATTGCTTCCTTACCTCAAAGTGTAAGCTGTTTCACAGGGAAGGGCAGCCCCTAAAAGTGACAAATTCTCATCCTTCCCTTGAAGGACAGAACCTAGAGCATTGTGTCCTAGGTAGATAATGTAAGGTGGACAGATTCTACTTTGGAGAAAAGATGATCCCAAAGGTAGCAAGAATACCAGCCTTATAAATAGCAGCCTGCACTATGAATTAGGCCTGAAAGCCCAATGACAATCAGTGCAGGTCTTGTAGAATAGGTGTTAATTCTGCTGATCCAGTTAGCATTGGCCAGGAAGTAAGTAGATGCATTCTGTGCCAATTGCAGGTTCTGGTTAAATTTTAAGAGCATCATCAAATAGAGCAAACTGCATAGCCTGAAAGATGACAAAGGCATGAGTCACTGTCTTCAGTCCCTTCTGCTCTAAGAATGGCTACAACTGGCAAATACACCAAAGCCAGTTAAAGATTCTAGCCATGAGTCTAACAGGAACTCCAGATCGAATGTTTTTCTAATGTAATATCTGGAGTAAGCATCCGGGTGGCTAAAAGTTCTCCTTCTATTCATGCTACTAGAAATCAGCAACAGAGAATTTTCCTCCTTTACCATGATTCCTACTGATATATTTTCAAGGAATAATTGTCAAGAGAGTCACTTTGGTGCAATGATAGCTTTGTTCACTCTTCAGAAGTGGACTGTGGATGTACACAATGACAAATAACTGCACATCCAGACCTTTGTATACCCAGCTTGTGTTGATTATGAGATAAGTAAATGGCATAATTTACACATCACATTAAATTACTTATATTTTTTGTAGGTTTAGTCCATTGGAAAAGTCACAACTGGCTAATTTAACACAGCACTAAGTCATGCTTTATAAATTGCAATGTCTGGCTTTATATAATGCTAAGCTAAAGCAAATGATATTGTGATTTTATCTAATGGTATGTTTCTGCTATATTTTTATTGTATGATGCCCAGTTTAGGTGAAAAAAAAGGTATGTGATTGGGTTTAAATTGGGTTCTCATCTAATGTTAAAAGTAAGACTGGATTGTAATTTCTACATGTGGAAGATGGGGAAACCTATAATTTTAAGTGTAATTATAAAGTGCCTGAAAATAGATGATGTTGAAATGAGATTTTTTTTGACAAATATTTTAAAATTCCTAATATGTTCTATTTTTCTGCCTTTTCCGATCACCGATATAACTGTTCCCTAATTATTAGTAGGAGGCCTTGTTCTGCTATTTTTTTCTTGTTTTGATTGGAAAGTAGAATGATAAACCATTTTCAAATTAGATGTATATATTACAGATCTTTGGTGTTATTTTTGCATTTATTAGCTTCACTTTCTACCTGTTGATTTAGAAATAGGCTGCAGTGTATCCAAGCTCAATTTATGCATAGAATAGAACTGAGTTCTAAGCTTTTCCTTCATGATACTGCCACGTTGAATATGCATATTTCATAACATGAATATTTAAATGTTTTTCTATTCACAAAGGAAAGATACGATATTGAAAAATTCATATAAGCATGATATAAAAAAATTCATACAAGCAGATAAGCATGATATGAGTCACTCTATGAGTGAGATGGGCGGTCTCTTAAGTTTGATAGCATAGCATTCATGTCAGAAGCACCAAGGTGCTTCCGAGTTGAAAGGATTAGTTGATGACATCACTATTGCCTGGGAGATGCCCAATTGGGGACTCCTTTCATGTCCTTGGCAGGAGCTGAGCAAAGGACAGGAGCACAATCCCATCCCACAGCAGTACTCGGATCTCAAACATGGCTTGCTAATCTCCTATCCAACATCCTAACCACATAAGCCACTGTGCTCCTTTCTAAATTTGATATAAATAAATAAATGATATGGTGATGCAGGGGTTAGAATGCACTATTGTAGGTAAACTCTGCCCACAGCCGGGAGTTCGATCCTGACTGGCTCAAAGTTGACTCAGTCTTCCATCCTTTTGAGGTCAGTAAAGTGAAGACCCAGACTGTTGGGGGCAATATGATGACTCTGTAAACCAATCCGAGAGTGCTGTAAACACTATGGAGTGGTATATAAGTCTAAGTGCTATTGCTGTTGCTATTTCTTCCAAAGTAACATTGGTATTATATGTGTATACTTATAAAACTGTTCTTTCTTAGTAAATATGTTTAGAATTGAAGTCTTGTCCTATTAATCATTCTGCAGTGAAGTAAGAATAGACAGCTGAAGCACTATGCTGCAGGATATGTTTGCTTGTCAATATTTTCTCACTGTTGTTCAGGGTCATGGTGGTGATGCTTTGCATAAAAAAATCCCAGGCTGAAACCTTGCATATTGAAGACTCTTGTCTGGAATCAGGAGGGGATACACTCAGCTAGAATAAGATCATAATATCCTGAGGCACACAATGTGCTAAGTCATAATATAGTTTGTTTAGCTTTGACAAACAATTATGCTTTATTCAATAAATCATGGCTCATGTATTGTTTGAACCTAGCTACTAAATGAGATTGACCAAGAGCTCAAAGAGAGCTCCCTATATAGGGAGTTTATGTATATAATTGTGATATATATTTAACTCTGAAGGTTGTAAGCTGTGTACAAATAAAAGTGGTAATACATTAATGTGGCGAGAGATTGAGATCACAAAATAATAAAAATATTGTGCCAAAACCAGGGGATAAAATTTCATCATATGGACTAAAGGTCCTCTAAAATAACTGTTTTGTACAAATCTGCAAAATCTCATGAAAGTTGGAGCTGCCTTTACTTTGGACACGTTATTCTGTAGGAGGGGATGCCCTCCAGAGAACACCCTTTCCAATTCACCTCTTGATAAGTGGGGGAAGGTACTCTCTGTTCACCCACGTTAGGTAAGCAGAAATTGTTTGAGAGATACTCCAGTTCCAAGACATATAGGTAATAACCAAATTTAATCCATTTCCTCTAAAAATGGTGTCATGTGACAATACCACAATTCTCCAATCAGGATATTTTGCATCAGCTGAAGTCTGCAGATGGGTCTTTAAAGTTAGCACCATGCAAAATGAATTACAGAACTCCATGCTCAGGATGATGAAGATAGACAAGGTTTAACTATCCTCAGAATTTTTTGTTCTAGCCATAACTAGAAAAACTAGTGAATCTGGGCAAAGGTTGTGCTGTCACTCATTCCATCTGTTGTTCAGTCAGAAACTGCGAGTCCAGGAAAATCCCCAGAGTTGCCAATTCTCCATTGGAAGCACAATCCTATTGAGAGATATGGATTTCATATTCTTAGAATCAGGGTTTTGAATTAGTAACCACTCCAAGTTGATGTATGTATCTAGCACCTGTACTGCTCTAAAACAATTAAAAAAATGTCCCTAGAGGTTATCTATATTAAGCCTTAATAATCTAATATAGAGGCAGTCCTTTACATACTATTCTGGGAATGAGTAAATCTCATTCATGGAATTTATTTTTGAATAGACATGTTTTAGCTTCAATGCAATCCCAATGTAATAGAATTACAGTAAAGGGAAAGCAAATGATTACTTCTATTAAGTTGATGGTAGACAATGTTAGTCACTTTGCTTTATCAGTTGCGTTTGTATAGGAAAAATCTCATTCATTTTAACTAACTACTAACAGGAAAGTCATGATTTATATAACAGTATCTGTAATTCAGTATGTGTATTCTGATCAAGTGGCAGAAGCCTGGGATGCTAAATTTATCCATGCATAATAGATTGGGCAATGTAGACTTTTCAGTGGAGAAGGAAAATAATTTTTGTAGTAGAAATGGAGTGTAATGGGATGGGAAAAAGAACACAGATTTTAAAAGAAGTCTTAGAAAAGAATGGAACACTAGTGTCGTGGATTATTTTGAAATGTATATTCTTGTTGATTTTTTAAAGAGCTGCATTGTACTTCTGAGTATTAGTGATATAGGAATTAATACTGTAACATTTTAAAACTACACAATGTATGGGGCAGCATTCCCCAAGCTCTGTTCCCTATAGATATTTGGACTTTAGTTCACATAGTTCTCAGCAATAGCCATGCTGATTGGGAAATTTTGAGAGTCCTCAAAAGGGTCCTAACCTTTTTGCCATCTTGCTGGTGTTGTATAGTTGCTGACCTTAATGTTTTGCTACACAAGGGGCTGGATGTACCAACTTCTAGATGACTTTCACTTTTTTAGTTATGAAAGTTTACTTTGAAGTCCAAAAAAGTGTCAACCTATTAATATTTCTATTAAAGAAATAATTACCTTGAAGAAACCTAGTCACTGCATCACTGGAATTAAACCTGTGCATTGATTATGTTACAGATCAATTAGCTGGATAAATCTTTGGCTCAACAGAATGAGGAATTTGTGTCCTTCAGTTAGGTTTGAAAATCCTATTTAATAATCTCAGATACTAATATATGGTCATCCAATAAAAGGTAATGGAGAAAAGATTAGGTTGTCTGGAGGAGAAAAATAGATTATTCAATAAGTCAAGGAAAATTGTTGTCTTTAACTCACATCTGGAGAGAGAGAAAAAAGATCATCCCAAAATTAAAGTAGTTAATGTTAGCCACTGGTTCTCTTAGCTAGCATTCTTGAAAGAATTTCAGAGATTCTGTGGTTATTGAAAAGTCCTTGCTAGCCTGTTTTAATAAAGCAACTATTTCATTATAGCTATATTGATAAGCTTCTCCTTTGTTCTTTCCCCTCTTTTTCCAGATTATCACTGAAAATGTCCTTTGGGAGAGATATGGAGCTGGAACACTTTGATGAGCGTGACAAAGCACAGCGGTACAGCCGAGGGTCACGTGTGAATGGGCTCCCTAGCCCGACTCATAGTGCCCATTGCAGTTTCTATCGAACCCGCACCCTACAAACCCTCAGCTCTGAGAAGAAAGCCAAAAAAGTCCGTTTCTATCGCAATGGGGACCGATATTTCAAAGGGATTGTATATGCCATATCTCCTGATCGCTTTAGATCTTATGAAGCCTTGCTGGCTGACCTGACCCGAACTTTGTCTGATAATGTCAATCTGCCCCAGGGTGTGAGAACCATCTACACTATTGATGGAGCAAAGAAGATCGCCACTTTAGACCAACTTGTGGAAGGTCAGTTTTTAAGCAAGGGTTCCAGGGAGACTTGCACCAAAATCTTCCCATGTAAATTGTTCAATTGTTCTGTTCATGATCTCCTTTATGATTGTCCATTTCATCCCTCCTTTTGTCTCAAAGCAGCAATCTTTTGTGGTTGCTGAGCATCCTGCTCCTGTTTCTTTTTAATATTCCTTCACTTGGGAAAAGATTGAACAGACCTAAAGGTCCCTAGGCTTGCTGAACTTTTCTGCCTTTATATGGGGGAGGGAGGTATTGTTTTAGCCACACTGATAAGAACATTAATGTGTTTATATCAGATATAAGAGAAATTATGGTATAGTAATGAGTATAACATGCACAGCTTCTCTATCCTTTTGGGCCTCATTTTGTTCTTTATTGGAGGAAAGAGCAGCAAATGAGTCATAGTGCAAGGAGTTTTTCCACATAAAATGATATTTATGAACACATCTAACACTGGCTCAGCTTCCTGTCCCACCTGATTTTCTTCAAAGGAATAAATAAATGGGTAGCAGCCACACAAGTAAGCTCTGGCTTTCAACATTATTATTTTCAAAATAATTCCCATGGACACTGTTTGAAAATGAAAATGCTGTGTAGTTGTAGCTAAATGCTTTGTATGGAAAAATGCTCTCTTGCTTACACACACACACACACACACACACACACACACACACACACACACACACACACACTTAATAATTTGAGGGATCAGGAAACAAGCTCTTTGCCTTCTGGTGAATGACTGAAACCACCATTTTGTGGCAGTCATTTTGTGAAGAGTTGATTCTTCCAGGGTAACTATTTTTTAACATCCCATGTTACCTTCCTCTTCTTTAAACATAAAGATATCTAACTTGTGAATTCAGATACTGGGTGTATGGCAGTTTCTATAATTACATTTAACAAGGAAGCCTCTCCTATTTTGGTTTTACAGAAGTTATTTGTGGATTTTTCTTATTGCATAAGCAATTTCTAAACTTCTTACATAAAGCAGTTGGGAATAAAGTTTTAAACAATAGCAGAAGTTATTTCCAAATTGATATAAGATTGTTGTTTGTTTACTTGTATATTTTTAAAACAGAGGCAGAAGTCTCTGGCTCCAGATATGGTTAAACTCAGCTTCAAGAAGCCCTTGTTATTAGGCATGCTAATATGTATTCATGGAGACTATAATTCATCAACTTCAGGAAGGTGATATATTCTCTGTTTGTTTTATAACAACTTCATTGAGCATTGAATCTGAGATGATACATGATTCAAATAGTAATGCCATGTATATTCTTACTGAATCTTCTTTCTATATGGCCATATATGACCTATTGCTTCGTAGCTTTTAATGGCATTTTTTGCCCAGTTCTTGGTTTCATTAAGCTGTTATATTTATCTGAGTACTTACTTGATTTTGTAAAAATCTCATGGCAAAGTAAATGCATATAACATCTTTCTGATTTCTATAGCTCTCAGGTTTGGCTGAACAAAATTCTATCTAAATTCATATATTTAATGAGTGGAAATTAAATCATTCTTCCCTGGATATTTCTTGGGCAGTTATCATTCCTGAACAAGTAAACAAAGTTACCATTAATTTAAAGCTTCCCTTTTCAAGTGTTAACATTTCAAATTCTTACACTTTTCTTCTTGAAACTTTGATCTAGTCAGTAATCATCCTCATGTTATTCTCTGAACCTATTCCATGGAATGACCAGAGCAAAATAAAGTGGAACTATTATTTTCTGGGATTTGGAAAGAGTATTCTTTTTATTTAACCTAAAATTTAATTTGTCCTTTTTCACTATACTCAGTTTGTAAGCATTTAGTATTTCAGGATCTTTCACAAAAATGATTAGCAAGCTAGATAGCCATCTTCCTATACTGTGCCTATTTAATTTGTTTCCCAGGTCAAGAGCTTTACATCTGATTCTGTTAAATTTCATTTAGTTATTTTCAGCCCATTTCTTTTGCATATTTGTCTTCTAAGCCAGTGATGGTGAACCTTTTAGAGACCAAGTGCCCAAACTGCAACCCAAAACCCACTTATGTATCGTCGGGTGCTGGGTGGGTGTGGCCCATTGGGTGGGTGTGGCCCATTGGGTAGGCATGGCTGCGGTGGTAACGGCAGACTAGGTGGGACTGAAAAGTTCAATCAATTCCAACTTTGTGAGATCTTTTTTTTTCCCATGAGAAGTTGACATTGATTGATTGATTGAACCTTTTTTTTTGCACACAGTGGCGGAGGCCTAAAGCGAAAAGGTTTTATAAAACCCAGCTGAAGGCCTAGGACTGGGGCGACGGTGCGCGTGCCCACAGAGAGGGCTCTGCGTGCCACCTATGGCACACGTGCCATAGGATTGCCACCACAGTTCTAAGTTATTAGTTACTGTAACCACTTTTGTCATCTACATGCTTATTAAGAACTCCCTCCAACTTTTCATCCAATTCAGATTAGAGTTTCAAGACTGAATTTAGATTTTTCTTCCAGTTTGATGAAAAACTAATGATAATACTTTCTTAAGAATTTCCCTAATAATTCCCTAAGTTCTTCTCATATCCTAAGAGGCAATGAATCTGTCTCCAATATTTTAGCAATGTATTAATCCAGTTTTGCAGAATCCATTTAACAATTTCACAGCAAAGCCTGAGTTTCAATAATTACATCAAAATACTGGTTTAACTGTGAATATGTAAGGGCTAAAGGGAATTTAATAAAACAAGTAATAAAAACTAAGTGGGCATCCCTTTACATTAACATTTTATCTGCAGGAGCAAAAACAGTTTAAAACTCTGGTAAGGATAAAAAAGAACATTTAGTAGAGACCTTGCAAGGGCAAATCATAGGTGCTAGATGGAGAAATTCTATGGTTTTCTAGCACCTATTAGAAGCAGTTTAAAATGATACAAAGACTTTGATAAACCATCAGGTTATCGCAGCTGCAGTTTAGGAATTATGTTTCTACTACACTTTTGTAGTTAATTCCTACTGTATATCAGAATCTAGGTCTCATCCAGATGTCTTGCTAGATTAACTTTTAGTTCTACTTTCATAAAGTACTAACCTCATTTTTTCATAATATTTTTAATAAAAGTTTACAGATACAGAGATAAACTAATGCAAACTAAAAAAATGCAGGAAAAATAAAAAATAAAGATGTATAGTGAAATGACTTCGCCTTTCAACTGGACAAGTACAAACAATTTCAATAACTTTTCACCTTCTCTGATACTACCACTAAAATCCCTTCTTCCTATATTTTATCTCTTATTCATAAACTATTAAAATCTCATCATTCAGCCCTAATCAGAAGTCCATTAAGAGCTACAAGAAACATCAACACAAATATTTTAACCTTAATCAAATAAGCCAACTTTATATTCTTTCGTTTTGTTTTTAAGAAACTTGATGTTTAATCTGTTTAAAATGTCCCAAAATCGATTTCTTTTCACTTCCCAAAAAAATTATCTTCATTTGCTTAACATATCTTTTGTAAATCCAAGGTAAGAAAAACATCCATGTCACTCTTCTGATTTGTTATTTATATGTCCCTTTTAATTACTAGGACATCAGCCAGTTTCATTTGTAAATCCAGTCCTGCATCTTTTTCCATATAATTTTTGTAATGTAGCATTTTTAATTCCCCATTTTTATGATAGCAGGTGGCCTTAAAAATAGGTTCCGAGTGCACTGTTCCCAAATATCCATAAATTCTTCCATATTTTGCTTCATGTGTATTAGTGAGTCTCTTTTCCTTTAACAATAGTTAGTATTTTCTGATTCCTTCTAAGTGCTAAAATTCAGAGTTCCCTCTAATGTTTTTTTTTCTAATCAACATTTTCCCATGGGAAGGTTTTTTACACTTAGTTTCAAAATCTTCATCTATTTTTTTATAGAATTTTAAACCACAGGAAGGAGTCTTGTAATTAATTTTGAGATCCTATTTCTTGAAAATAAGATACTTTACTCTATTTATAACTTTCCAAAATCAGTGTTCTAATCATGCTTTTGCTGTTTATTCTGAAATAAGAATTTTTAAATTCCTTAAATTTACATAAAAATTCTTTCGATAGATGAAACTTGCTTTTTTTTAAGGTTCCTAATATACTAACATTCACTACAAAACAATTTCAAGCAGCGATTAAGAAAGGAAGTATGCTTACTCCCTGTTCTTTTGAAGGCTCCAAATTGCAGCTTGGGCAAAGATGGCTTTCCTTTGGCTCCTATGGCTCTAAAATCTGTAGCAGACCACTGTCTTAAAGTCTCCAGATGGGAATCCACAGTATAGACCACTTGTGGGCAATCCCAGGTCATCTCCTTGCTCCAGAGAAGAATTCTGAGGAGTTTATTTGTTTTCTACCTCCTTGTTCCGACATAGTCACTGGCTCCACTCTCAGTGGAACCTTTTTCAGTATTCCATTGTTTCCTAGCTACTCAAAAACTACTAACTTCATAATATAGTCAAATGTAGAGAAAGCATCATTTGAGATTTTATACCTCTTGAGCTTCTAAAAGCCAATATTAAAAGGTGTGCTCCCAAATTTTCTTTTCCTTTTTGAACATATAGAGTTCATGGTTACATGAGCATGTAATTATTATTGTACTCTTTAAAAGAAGGGACAAACTGATCTAGCAATATACCAAATAAGTTACTAGGTATTATCAGTAAGCCCTGTACAAGACTTGGAAATTATTAGATTGGTTTGATAGAGTGAGCAACAAGAAGTTATTAGGGTCAGGCAACTCTGGACCAGATCATTTGTGCAAAACCCTGATAAAAATTATATCATGCATAACATGAATTTGTAATATCCATAGGCTTCAAATATACCCTTGATTTTATTTCTAGAATTAAACTATAGGAAACATTGGAACAACTCACTCACTATAAGTGTTTTCTGTTACTTATATTCAACAGTTAAATGTAATTCTGCTTTGTCATTAAATCATGTTTGTGTTCTTGTACCAACAATTCAAGTTCACCTTTATTTTACATATTTTAAAGATTAGGATGGTTTGAAACCACAGCCAATGAACCTTCTGATCTTTCACTATGTGGTTCAGGGGTTTTTATTAGAACAGTATTTCCCCTTTCTTCTAGTTTGCAGTCTTGTATCTGAGGTTGATTCTTTAGTATTTTTGTCTCCAACCTCACAAATCCAGTTTAAGCCCTTCTGATCCAGCTCACCGTACTTAATAAATGCCAAACACATTTTTACCAGCAGTATACCAATGGTTTTTGTAATTCAGACCTTGGTTTCAGAAACCAAAGATTCTCTGTCTACCTTATTTTTGAAGTCAATTTGTCTTCCGTAGTATTATTTCTTTATCTCTGCAATACTGTTCTATGATTTGGAAAAATAAATAAAAACATCAAGATTCTAGAACTTCCTAATTTTTAAATGATATATGTTGTAGCTGTTGTCAGCAGTATCATTGGTTCCCACAGAGATTAGCAGGAGGTGGTAATTAACAATGGATTTAATAGGAATTGGAAATAGTTTTGTTACATCCTTAATCCATGGTTGTATCAGCCAATAATCTGCATGAGCTGGTAGATCTGGCTAATATACATTTGTCTCTGGTCTTTATAATAGTGAATCTTCACTATTGTGATTTCTTTTTGCCTTCTTGAAGGCTAGTTGTAAATACTCTATTCTCTTGTATAATATCCTTTGTCTCTGTCTGTCTGTCTGTCTGTCTGTCTCTCTCTCTCTCTCTCTCTCTCCATCCCTCCCTCCATCCTCTCCATCCTCTCCATCCTCAAGCTCTGTTAACCACTATTTAAGCAGGCAAGAGTTTATTTTTGTTTGTTACATTCTCAGATTAGCTAAATTTACATTGTTTACTTAGAGCTAAAAATGGGTAAGCACTGATCCCCCCCCCATACTGGTAAACTGCAATTACCCTTCCCTGCTTATTTGTGTTGTGAGCTTGTTCCTTGGATACTGGCTGCCATTTATTGATGCTATTATTATTCAGATTACTCACAGCATATTGTCTCTCACAACACACCCTTTTTTGTTAGCAACTTTTTAGGACATTACCTTTTGTCCCCAGTCACTTAAACACAGAGTTTTAGGTCACTCTCTTTTGCTTTTCCCCCCCTGCCAAAGTTCTGTCAATTTTTTCAGTGTTAATCTTTTAAATATGCAAAAAAGTGAGTGAAGAGTTAATGTTACAAATCAGTTAAATGTATTGTGATTTAAAGAACAGTTTCTGCTAAATATTAAATCTATTCAAGGATTATTTATTCTATGTATATACAGAGAACATAGAGCATCATCAGAGTTAGAAGGGCCTTGGAGGTCTTCTAGTCCAACTCCCTACTCAAGCAGGAGACTATACCATTTCAGACAAATGGCTGTCCAGTCTCTTCTTAAAATCCTCCAGTGACGGAGCAACACTACTTTTGAAGGCAAGCTGTTCCACTAGTTGATTATTCTCATTGTCAGGAAATTTCCCCTGACACTGAGGAGTTCTAGATTGGTTCTCTCCTTGATTAGTTTCCATCCATTGCTTCTTGTCTTGCCTTCTGCTGCTTTGGAAATCAAGTAGACTCTCTCTTCTTTGTGGCAGCCCCTCAAATTTGGAATATCATGTCACCCCTAGTCCTTCTTTTTACTAGACAAGACATATCCAATTCCTGCAATTGTTCTTTATATATTTTAGCCTCCAAGCCCCTAATCATCTTTGTTCTTCTCTGCACTCTCTCCAGAGTCTCTTTTTTAATATTGTGGTGACCAGAACTGGATGCAGGATTCCAAGTGTGCTCTTACCCAGTGCTTTTTTTGTAAAAAAAAAATAAAAAATAGGTGCCAGAACTCACACATGTCATACAACCCGCCTTGCCTACCCTACAAGGTTCCATCCAAAAAAGGTGCCGGAACTCTGTTCTGGGCGTTCTATGAGAAAAAAAGCCCTGGTCTTACCAAGGCCTTATAAAGTGATACTAATATTTCACATGATCTTCATTATGTCATTATGGAATGACCTACCCCCCGACCTACGTACAGTTGCGGACCTGCGCCTTTTTCGCCGAGCCCTGAAGGCCCATCTATTCCGTGCGGCCGGCCTGGCGTAGTTTGATTAAGTTTGATTATGTTTTAGTGGGGGTTTTGTATGGGGTGTTTTTAGAACAGGCCTGTCATTTAATTTGATTTTAGCATAGAAATTATTTATTT